TTTTTATCTCCCCTCTTCTTCCCCCTTCTTCCATCTCCCCTCTCTTCCCTCCTCTCCACCTCCCCACTCTCCTCCCCACCCCCTCTCTTCCCCCTCTCTTCCCCTTATTCCCATCTCCCCTCTATCCCCCCTCTTCCCCTTCCCCCTCTCCCCTATTCCCCTCTCCACCTCCCCCCATCCCCTCTCTTCCCCACCCACCCCTCTTCCCCACCCCTCCCCTCTCCCCTCCTCCCCCTCTCCTCCCCTTATATCCCCTTCATCCCCCCTCTTCCCCCTCCCCCCTATTCCCCCTCCCCCTCTCCCCCCATTATATCCCCTTCTTCCCCCCTCTCCCCCCTCCCCCCTATTCCACTTCCCCCTCTCCCCCCCACTTATATCCCCTTCTTCCTCCCTCTCCCCTATTCCCCCATCCCCCTCCCCCCCCTTATACCCCCTTCTTCCCCCCTCCCCCCTATTCCCCCTCCCCCTCTCCCCCCTTATATCCCTTCTTCCCCCCTCCCCCCCTTCCCCATCCTTCCCCCCTCTCCCACCCTTATATCCCCTCCTTCCCCCATCCCCCTCCCCCCCTTATACCCCCTTCTTCCCCCCTCCCCCTATTCCCCCTCCCCCTCTCCCCCCCCCTTATATCCCCTTCTTCCCCCCTCCCCCCTATTCCACCCCCCCTCTCTCCCCCCCCACTTATATCCCCTTCTTCCCCCCTCCCCCCCTTCCCCACCCCCACCCAACGCCTACTTCGCCGGATTCCTGATGATAAGGACGGACGGCAGGTCTGGGCTTATCACTTCGTATCGGGTTTTCATCGTGTTCTTGGCCAGGATGAGCGCAGTGCCGTGGCTTTTCTGGACGAGCGTTCGGCCACTGTCGGGTTTGTCGGCTTCTCCGAGGTAGCCTGTCGGGGGGGAGGGGGGGGGGAGAGTGTGTTAGTGTTTTTTTTTTTTTTTTACTATGTTTGTTTTTTATCTCTATCTCTTTTAGCTTTTGTTTTTTTTTATGTTTTCTTCTTTCTCATTCTCTCTCTCTCTATATATATATCATATAACGCTATCTCTCTTTCTCTCTCTCTCTGTCTCTCTGTCTCTCTCTCTCTCTCTCTCTCTCTCTCTCTCTCTCTCTCTCTCTCTCTCTCTCTCTCTCTCTCTCTCTCTCTCTCTCTCTCTCTTTCTCTCTTTCTCTCTTTCTCTCTCTCTCTCTGTCTCTCTCTACTCTCTCTCTACTCTCTTCAACACATTGATCACTTATACAGTAAATTATTTACTTACACACAAACACTTCTAATGTATATGTATATAGATATGTACACACACACACAAACATACGTACACACACACACACACACACACACACACACACACGCACACACACACACACACACACACACATATATGTATATATATATATATGTGTGTGTGTGTGTGTGTGTGTGTGTGTGTGTGTGTGTGTGTGTGTATGTGTGTGTGTGTGTGTGTGTGTGTGTGTGTGTGTGTGTGTGTGTGTGTGTGTGTGTGTGTGTGTGTGTGTGTGTGTGTGTGTGTGTGTGTGTGTACATATATTTATATAGATTTATGTCAATATTGATATTGATTCGACATTTAAAGGTGCGTTGGTCAAAACTGTTTGGACCACCAATTGCCAACCTCCACCGAAATGTTTATTTATGTATTTTCATCTCAAGTTATATCAATAGAGCAAAATTTAGTGTTCCATAAATTGTTTGTTTGTTTGAAAATTCACAATTCAAGGGGGTAGGGGGAGGGTATTAAAATCTTGTATTTATAACCGAAAATTAAAGATTATAATGCTGGTTAACTGAATTAGTATAAATGCTGAATCCATGTCCATTGAACTGTAATATCTCTCACTCACCAACATGCCATGTTTACTGCTAGCCGTTGTTGTTAGGAAATATTTATTTATTTATTTTGTCTCGTGGATACAGCAACATGAATGAAAATGACAACTCCAACTGCGTCAGGTAATATATTGAAAAAGGAATAATAAACCACATTAAAGTGTAGGGAAGGGAAATCACAAAATCCCATCTCACATTTATCATAATAATTATTGTTATAATCATCAGGTAAAAGGAGGGTATAAAATTAAAGTTAATGATAGACTGGAACTGACTCAGTAAAAGAATAGTCCTGTCATTTTCTGATGTTTATCATGGCTGATATTATATTTATCATGGCTGATATTTATTTTTATACAATCACAGAGTAAAAGAAAATTGGTTCAAGCTGTTTCTTTGACCGTTGTCCTTCCGACTTAACAGCCCACGAGCCTCTTCAGTCCCTTCAGTCATGCAACTCACAAGTCAAAGTTTGTATGTATGTGTGTGTGTGTGTGTGTTCACGCGTGTACATATTTATGTGTATAAAATCATGCAAGTCATCACCGCCAACTCCAAGCATCCCCCCCAAACAGCGACATGAGACTCACCCGCTTTCTGAATCTCCCGATCCGTGTAGACAGAGCCAGTGAAGATGCCAGATGCAGCCTCCAGCAGATATCTCACCCAGGTGTTGCCAGAGCCGGGGAAGGAGACCAGGTATGTCCTCGGCAGTCCCTGGCCAAATCTGTTTAATATTCAGTAACGTCGTTTTCTAATATGCTGATTATGTTTTCGTGATTGGGTTTTTCTTGTTCATGAAAATTGGCGCCTAATTAATTGTTTTTTACGAGAGAATTTAGGATTGGTTTTATTTCTTTGTTATTGTTTTGTATATTGTTTCATACCTTTATTTATTATTGTTATCACATGATTATTTCATTTTATTGTTATCGTTTCTTTATCTAATATTATTATCTCTTTCACTTTATTGATAACGTATTTTTATTGGTTATTGTTATTATATTTGTACTTCATCATACTGTTATCATATCTTTATTCATTACTGTTATTATATCTTTATTTAAGTATACCTTTATTGCAACTAGTGAAATGCACATACATCTGCTTTCCTATATACCATTGATTAGGGAAATGCATATGCACATATACAGCTACCATCATATACACTTAATTATTGAAATCCTTATATACATCTACCTTTAAATACATGTAATCAGTGAACTCCGCACACATCTACCTTCATATGCAAATGACTAGTGAACTGCATAAACATCGTTTTTTTCCCATACATCTAATCAGTGAAATGCTAAAACAGATCTACCTCCATATGCAAATGACTAGTTAACTGCAAACACATCATTTTTCCCCATTCATCTAATTAGTGGAATGCTAAAACACATCTACCTTTATATGAAAATGACTAGTTAACTGCAAACACATGTTTTTTTTTTCCCATACATCTATTTTTTTTCCCCATACATTCATTTTTTCCCCATACATCTAATTAGTGAAATGCTAAAACACATCTACCTTTAGATAAAAATGACTAATTAACTGCATACACATGTTTTTTTTCCCCATACATCTATTTTTTCCCCCATACATCAAATATTTTTCCCCCATACATCTTTTTTTTCCCCATACATCTATTTTTTTCCCCATACATCAAATTCCCCCCCCCCTAAATCCATTTTTCCCCATACATCTATTTTTTTTCCCGCCATACATCCATTTTTTCCCCATACATCTAAACAGTGAAATGGTAAGACACATCTACCAGTGTCTGCGAACGTCTGTCCCTCACCTGGTTCGGAACTGAGAGCAAGTGGCATTAGGGCTGTCCTTCCAGAGTTGCCAAGTCGTGCTATTTGAGGTCCCCTGAGCCACATGTTTTCCTGAAAATTCGTGGAGGAAAGTTAGAAGGGAAGAACCATGCAGTGGTTGTATTATGGGATGAAAAGATCAGTTCTAGACGAGGGTTTTGTAGAGAATAGTAATGATAATAGTAATAGGAATCGACTGAGTTCATGCAGTGGTTGTATTATGGGATGAAAAGACCAGTTCTAGACGATGGTTTTATAGGGTTAAACGAGAATACTAATGATGGTAGATATGATTTTCCTTTGGTAGGAAACGAATTTTTTTTTTCATGTCCGATAAACAAAAACGTAATTTTCTGCCAAACATATTTCTACGAAGTCAATATGAATGATTGTAACTATTGTTCAAATAAAACTGTTTACATAAAGAGAATTTATCTAAAACGATTGTCAGAGTCCTTATTTTGTAAAACAGGAAAATAACAAACTGGCACCTCACACGGACTCTGGGACAATCCGATTCGCCAATTCTCGGTTTATTCTAATCAGCTGACACTTAATATATATTTACATGTCTGATATAAAGAAAAAAAAATCATATATATTTTTTTTTTATTATCTTATACCACTTTACTACTTCAATGTATTCACTTATTTCTTGCACTAAAGGGAGAGTTCGAGTTGCCAGTTTTTTTTTTATTCTCATGTATAAACAGTGTTGCCATTCTAACTAGTGAACTTCCCGCTAGATCTAGAGTTCTTTAGTGTGAATTAGCGGGAAACGGGAAATTTACTCTATATTTAGTGATTTTTAGGTCCAAATAAGGAGCTTTTAAGTCCAGTCTAGCAGTTTTGTGGAAATATCATTGGCAACACTGAACGTAAGCAACCACTGGCTTCTTTTAATGCATTAAAATTTCTGATAATATGCATTTTTTTTTATTAATCTGGACCTCTTTACTGATGTGATGTGGTAATACTAATTGTTGTGACATGATACTGTTAACAATGTTTGCTTTTGTAATATGGTATTTTGTGCCAGCTTGACATATTAATAATAACTGCAATTCATGCTGGTATGGTATATCATGGTACTGTAAATGGAGCATTGTGCTGAGGGCCTACCATAGTACTTTGTGAAACGTATCCATGTTGCCAAATGTAGAAGAGGTATGAAAGAAAATGTATTTCTGACGAAGATATAATCGAAACCGGTCAAATACATCTCTTGTATTGTGAAGATATTCATTCTCTTTCATACCTTTTCTACATATAGTACTTTGTCCTAGTATCATATGGCGCTGATGATTATTCTCCTAAATAAAGTA